CTTTGGGGAAAAGTACGAGCAACTACAATAGCAGCCCTCTGACCTGTCTTGCTCATTGACTTCGATGGGTTCCTCCCCTTCTTGAGTGCTTCGTTCCTGAATCCTGCAGGAGAAGGGATGGTGGCAGCACAGCCCCTCCGGGCACCTCCTGTGCTGGCTCCCAGTGCCCACACTTACTGCCATCCGCATTCACGCCCACGGTCACCACCATCACATCACAGTCACCTTCAACTGCTGACTCATGTATACCTCATAATCCTGATTTCCCTACTTGTGGGTAGTTTCCGTATGACTGCGATTCACGGAGATGCCTTTTCGCCATCTCCCCCCACGCTCCTGGCACATCCTCCACATCTTCTGTATCTCAACGTAGGGCTGCGGGAGCCAGCACAGCACCTACCATCCAAACCAGATTTACATTTCTCTCTACCTCAGCTGTTCTTCCTTAGTAACTCTGCACAGCACTCTTGGGCATGACAACAAAAGAAAACCAAAAGTCTAGAGGTTATAAAAGTTGAGGTGTTAGCAGAAATTATTTCAGTTTATAACGTAGCTGACGTTTGTGAAGGTACTCAGGCATCAAGACATTTACTATTGTCTAAGCTTAAGCACAAATTTAGATGTTGGCATTTATAATCTTTCACAGTAAAGCGATGATATTGTTTGATCAAAAGGTCAAAATTAATTTGAAGTTGTCTCGTTTTCTTCTTTTTGCCCCTTTTTAATAATTCAGCAGAGCCCAGTAGGTAATATATTGTAAAAGACGGATGGAAAACTAGATATTCATGTGGAATACATTCTTCATGAAAGGTAGGTGAGAAATTAAGATTAAAAATGCTCCTGTCTTCAGCAGAAACAAGACTAATCTTTTCATTTTTAACTTACCTTGTATTGATGAGACATCAGCTACGGACAGTAAAGGAAATTGCAGCATTCACTTAAAAGCAGAGTTAGCAAGTTCTGACAGCTTGTTAACAGCTGTGACCCAAGGCAGGGTGATGCACATCGATCACCTGTGACAAGGACCTCATGGAGCTCGGCCCAGGCTTGCCCTTGGTTGTATCTCTGAGGTGGGTCGCGTGGCTCTCAGTGGGTCATTTCACATTAACGGGTACACACTCCTTGAGCTGCCCAAGGGACTTAAATGTTGGCCGCTCGTTAAAATTAAACACCATGATGTCCTACAACTCTATGTCCTTCCACAGTTCAAGTCTGACTCTATGTATAACATGGATTTTCCAGCACTTACAGTCAAACTTCTGGCCAGATAATGGAAGTAAAATACCCAAAGCAACGGAGTCAGTAGAAGATACAGTCCATAGTGGTGAAATCACAAGATCATATTCCATCCTTGGGATGCTATTGCATGAAATATGGGTTTGAACACTGAGTCTGAGAGATTTGGATTTCTAAATTTAGTTACCATCCATGAGCACGGCACAAGATTTACATTTCATTAATGTGCCTAAAATATCCTTCTCATATGTGGCACGTTGTGGAAATATATACCTGTGGAGATTATCTGGACCAACCTCCTGCTTTTTTTTTCCTGCTGAAAGCAGGGCCTTAGATTAGGTTATCCAGCTCCGTGTAAAGCCAAGTCTTGAATACTTGGATTTGAACAAGAAATAGTATGAGTAATACTATTAGTAGAGTCATCATTACTTTAGTGAAGTCACATGAAAAATCAGAAAAAAGACACTCCAAAGAGGCCACGATTCAACCAACCTTGTAGGAAACAGCAAACTTGGTCCCAGTACTTGTAAAGCAGAGAAGTATTTGGGTGCTCATTCCACTTCAGACCCTAATAAAGCAGCCTATACATCCTGGAAACTACAGTTACAGATTTCATACAGAAAAGTCCAGCCTTGAAAGTAATTTTCCTTTTTCTTTTTTTTTTTTTTTTTTGCTACGGTGATGTTATTACCACTTGTATTTCTGCTGGCAGGAAGGTATTGCCTACAGCTGCAAACTGATATAAACCCAGACTTCCTGGGTCATCAGAACTGTGACAGGCAAAGCGCTCTCCGCAGCTCCTTCATCCCTAAGATAAATACGTTAAAGTATTAAAACAGCATCAAAAATTGTTTGCTGCCCCTTCTTTGTGAGTTCTTCCTTCTTTTTCATCATCTCATTTCACAAATATTTCATTGCATATCATATAGCGAACAAAAGCTTAAAGTGAATGGATCTGAGATAGCAAACATTGGAGGAAAAAACGTAAAAGAACTGGGAATATAATCGTATAAAGGACTTTGCAGATGGGGTGGTTGTTTTGTGGTGCTTCTAAAGCAGCATCTTGCAACACAAGTCTTGTAATTTTGAGTTGTGTACACAGAAGTGCCACAGCAAAATACAGGAAGGCGAATGTGTCTCATTACAGTTTTCTTTAGCGATTTAAAAGTAGGCTAGGAAAAAAAAACGTAAAACAGGCTGTAGGACTGTACCAGATTTGCATCAGTATGGAGTATTGGACCTGAGAGATCACTTCTCTCCTTCACTTCACCCGCTTTTGGAACTGATGGGAACTCACTTTTTCATTTTCTCCCGGGTTAAAATCACAGAATCACAGAATGGTTTGGGTTGGAAGGGACTTCAAAGATCATCCAGCTCTAACCCCCCTGCCATGGGCAGGGACACCCTCCACTACACCAGGTTGCCTAAAGCCTCATCCAACCTGGCCTTGAACACTGCCAGGGATGGGGCATCTACAGCTTCTCTGGGCAACCTGTTCCAGTGCCTCACCACCCTCAGAGCAAAGAATTTCTTCCTTAGATCTCATCTAAATCTCCCCTCTTTCAGTTTAAAGCCATTGCCCCTTGTCCTATCACTACATGCCCTTGTCAAAAGTCCCTCCCCAGCTTTCCTTTCGCTCTAACGAGCAGTGTGGATGTCTCAGGCATTTAACTGGGTTTCTGATGATTTGTCACTTCTAACAGCTGACGGCTACGCCAGAGCTCATTACTTTGGGGATCCTGGTGAGACAGACGTTTGTTTTGAAACATTATTCTGGCTGTTTGTAGAAATTTCACACAGGAAAGTTGTAGTAAGCTGATAAACACCTTCTTATATATTACAAAGGGTCTGATCAAGAGAAATCTATATCTTTATGTTCTACATTATTGCTTACACAAAAGGTGGAAGCTGTTAAAAAGGTAACACTTCCCATGTTTATTTACACCTATATTCTTGCGTACACAAATGGTGGAAATCACTGTTCAAAAACCAGTGTTTCTCAGCTAGTTACCTCCCTTATTTCCTCTTTTTAATAACACTGTGGAACCAAGAGCAGTGTCTTATTTCACTTTCTAAACACTTCTGGTAAAAGTGATTCTTTCGTGACCACCACAGCCCAGAAAAGGCTCAATATTATTTTAATCCTTGTTTCTGTGGTATATCACAGAGAGACCTTAGAAGATGTTCAACAAAGCCCTGAATGCATAGTACTTTCTATAGAAACTCCAGGAGAACATTGTTATTTGAAATTAAGATGGTATGCAATGAACTCCAAAGCCAAAACGCTTAATTTGCTGGTGTCAGTCAGTGGAAGGTCCTCTCCAACCCTCACCTTTTACATTTCTTCCTTGCTTTAGCACTTGTTGCCCTTTTCTCTCTCCTGCTCCCCACTGTGCCATCTCCCCTTCAACAACCGACAGCCTGGAGTACACTTAGAACCATAAAAAAATATTTTATCTCAGGCTTCCTCCAGCTGCCAGCCCCAGGGGTGCTTCACCCTGCAGACCCACACAGCTTTCATTTAAGGGCCTGACTCTGGAATTACTGACACCAGCGGTTTCTCTATGGAAAATCTTGGCTCTGTTGATAATTTTCTTTAAGGTTAAAGCAGAATTTTCTTTAAGGTTAACGCAGGAGGGCTCTGAAGAAAGCAGCGCCTTCTCGCTGTTTGCACCTTGAGGACTGCAAGAGCAGTCCCACTGATCTCAGGCGTGGGAAAAGGAGTGCAGCAGTAACAGCGAGGTGCAAAGGGACGGTGCAGCCCAGGTTTTGGACCTTGTCCAGCCCACGAGACAGCACGCAACTTCTCATCTTTCTCTTTTTTTTCCATTTGCACACGGGGAAGATAAAGGCACAAATGAATCTTAGGAAGTAGCTTATGTTCAGATCCTGACCTTTAGATCAAAAAAGCCATACAAGAACAAGGTAATTGCAATTAAATGTAGCCCAGAGTCACAGGATACTTGGGGGGTAAGTTTTAACCTTAGTGTTTTTGGTAAAAAACAGACTCACTCATTGACATTTTTCCCATCCACGCTCCCTTCCTGGAGAGTCAATAAACTCAGCTATGGTTATCCAAGTGCACTGTAAAATAGCTGCTACAGCCCAGTGCAGCAGAAGTCATACCACTGTGGGCATGAAGCAATCCCCACGGTACCTTTCCCTTCCCAGAGAGCAACGTAGCGAAGAAAATTTTCTATTTGCAAAATGCTTGGAGGTGTTTGAAAAAAAGGTGTTAAAGATTTGCAAACCATTTACCTGAAGTCATTAGTTATAAAGGCCAGGGCTTGCTATATAGCCTTCTAAATAAAAGCTGAAAACTTTTATTTAGAAATAAAAAAAACCCTAATTTTTAATCGGGAGGAGCACAAAACCAAGCTCAGTGCAGCCATCTCCTTCCTAATCCCACACCTTGAAATTCAGCCCTTAAACAAAGAAAGACCTAATTATTTTCAGGGGCTAAATGCTTGCATGCTGCTGGGAGAAAAGAAAATAAATTACGGTTATAAATGGTTAAAAATAGAGGTTTAATGCAGCAAACACAGGCAGAGTTTTCTCTGTCATCTGATGAGCAGCATGCACCAATAGCATGGCAAATATATTCATGGTAGTCCTGGAACTGAAAACGTCTGGGTTGTGCTCTGACTCCCCGTGCCTTTGCAGAAGCAAAGATTACTATTATCTGCTCACATAAAATCATTGTGGTGGGTCTGTTCCAGCCTGAACCTCTGCTCCACCAGAACAGGTTTATGGAAATTCCTTACCTGCCCCATCACTTGAATTAGGAAGCTGGAGAGAAAATGTAGTGTGATGGCTGCCAGATTGCTTATCATCATCTTTCTTTGTCGTTACTACCTTATTGGGTCCTCTGGGTATATCCACAAACACTGGAAGTTCAGAGACAAAGACACTTTGCAAAGGGTGTTTAAAACCCAAATAGCCTCCATTTGTTGTCTCTCTCTTAATTACACTATTTTCTGTTAAGTCTGCACGCCAGTTTGATCTGAGTGGAGTCTTGTTTTCTCCTCGGAGCTTTGTCTTAACTATCTCCCCTATTGGCTCTCCATTAGCTATGCCATCTACTCCATCTGCTGTTAATCGGGACGAACTGCAATTTATCTTGAAGGACAACGCTGCTCTATGAATTTTTTGGCATTCGATTCGAGGTTGGTCAATGCATACGTTGAGCGACTTGTCTAAGTAATAGATGGCATTTGGACACTGCTGAGAAACCCGAAGGTGGACACAGGAGATGAATGAAGGTGGTACTTTCTCTCTCCCATCACTACTTTGAAGACCCACGCCGCTCTCCTTGTTTCCAGAGTCAAAAATCCGCTTTCGTGGCTCTTTGCATAATTGTGAGCAAGATTCAGAAATCTTTAACAGAGAGACATTTTGGTTTGCGTGGCCTGGTGGAGGCCAGCGACGGAGAGCAGCAGGGACTTTGCTTGAGGTGGGGGACACGGCGTTGGGTTCTTGCACAGCCCCAGCTCCACGTGCTGGGTCGCTGGAGCCTGCAGCAACACGCCTGGCTGTAACAGTGATGGAGGCAAAACCTTTCTGCTGGTTTTGACACCGTTTTCCCTCTGTGATGGGATAGTCCGATGGAGACGTGGTGTCATCTAAAGATGCCTGAATTTCTAATCTGCTGGGAAGTACCGTAAATGCTCTGTTAATGTTGACTGAACCATGGTTATCCAAAAATTGCTTCGTGTGATAAGCGCTGGGCTGGGTGATCATAGACTGCATAGGCAAAGTGGACCAATTTTCTTTTGATTTATTCTCATCAATCATCTGCGAAATGACCATCGGTGAAATCAATTTTGTATTTTTTGATGACAGAGATTCCTGCAAATGGAAAGATTCATATTATCAACATACTCTATCATAATATATGTAATTGTTTCTCATCTACCATCTATCACACAAGACAGTTGTGTTCGAGATTTCTTGTTAACTTTCTATTCATCCTAACTTTTTCATCATTTAAAAACATACACTCTTGAAATCAGCTCTGAATTGTCTGGGAGACTTCAGTGAAAAACTTATCACTCTGGGGCAAAATAATGTTAAAATTAAAAATGTGTATTCTATACTATGATTTTTAATATTTAGCCCTCTCTCAGAGTTGGGATTTGTGACTGCTATGCTTCTTTAAAAATGGATGTGTCAAAGGCAATTGCCAGTTTCAGACTCTGAACTGCTCTTTCATGACAGTCTGCTGGAATTTAAAGTGCATTTAAATATATCAAGGATTGTTAGCCGGAAGGTCCACATGTGCCATCACATGCTGCAGAAGACCTGTGGGCACCAGGGTCATGACTGCTCTGCAACCTTACCAGTTAAAAGCATGGAAAAACTCCTCCATGATCCCTCCCACAAAAGTGATATAATTTCCTACAAGGGCTCCGGGTACTGTTTTAATTCATTAGTTCTCTCTTGCTTATCATTACTTTGTGGCATCTATCAATGATGTAAAACCACATATGTCTAAGATGATTGACAGTGGCCCAGTTTCATTTTTCCAACCATGACAGTAAAGATCTATCTTGATAGATCGTACATTACTTCACTTGGTGTGATAAAAGAGGTGCTTTTATGCTAAAGCTATCCAACAAAGAGTAAACCTGAGTTTAAAATCTCCTGCTATTATTATCCACAAGGCTGGTCACATAAGTCACATGCAATAAAGCATCTGACCTAATCTCACTGCAGCCGTAAATTGGCTGATTAGATTGCTCCTGCCCTGTGTTCCTAGATCCCAATAGAAAAAACCCCACTGAAATGGCATGTAAATTCTGAGGATTAACTCCATAATGAAAGCTCAGTCAAGTTCACTGGGGGTTCGGTGCCATTTGCTAGCCGTACTGCTCCTGCTTGTTATGAATTCATCTCACCACATCTGGGCATCTATTGTCTGATCAGCAATGCCAGTGCTGGATGAGTATTTCACAACACATAATATTCTTCTTCCTCAAGGAAGACTATGCAGGCGACAGAGCTGTGACCTCCCAGGTGCCACAGCCATCCTTCTCTCAGGGCTTGGGTGCCAAAGACGGGACCCTGCACTGAAGACCATGGGCAAAACCATTCCCGTGCTCCTGTCCTCCATGCGTGGGGACAACACAGAAAACAGGCTCCTTTGTAACTCTTGGGAAGGCTGATTTGGGAAGCCAAATGGGGAGAGTTAAATCAGGAGTTTATTAATGAGGTGAAACGCCAGGTAAATTTTATCAACTCTTTAAAACAGCTACCTGTGGTTTTGACAGTCCAACGATTTCACAGCCCCAGGAAAAGCATTTTCTTCCTTCTTTGTTTCTTTCATGGTTTGTAACAACATTTGCCTCATATTTTCTGCGCCGCATTTACTTCTACCTACAGGTTGAAAACCTTTGCACACCTTCCAAAACTCTCAACTTCCCCGGGATTTCTACAGGGCACCAAAGAAGAATGTTGCTTGAAATACTGTATTTCAGATGCATTTCTCATGCTCCAGTAGTTAATTTGACATTTATTACTTTTGTTAAGGGCTGCACAGATGGAGACATCCTGCAAGAGTCCAAAGGCGTGTCAAAAATGCTCTCGATTAGCTTGAAACTCAGGCACCAACATTTTAAACAGTTTGCTTTTCGTTTTTCTGCTGGAGTATATGTATTATTCCCTCCTCTCAACCTTTGGCAAAGAAATGGATCTTTAAGATTTGACCAGCTGACTCTATGCTCGTTGGGAGCTTTCAAGCTTTGCTGCATCTTGTGAAAAAAAAATATGCACTTACACAAAGTAATTGTGGTGAGCCGAAAACCTCAGGCTTTATCTTGAGAACATCTGAGACAGAGCATACTGATATTTGGGATATCACTTGATTTAGTCTCCTGAGGTGTTTTTAACAACTTTTTTTCCCCTACAAAACATGTAATTTTTTTCCCACTCACCAAGAGCACATTCAATCACAACATTTAGCCATCATTTTATTTGGCTTTTCTGCTGCCTAAGCTAAGCCTAGCTAAACAAAACCAAACACACTGCTCAGCAATCAGTGATTGTTTTTTAAACCTGAATGCACTCTGCTGACTGCTATCTATTTTTATTTTACCTTGGTAGAGCTCGATTTTCTCTCTGCAGCACTCTCCCGCTGAAGCCCTGTGCATGTCCTCTGACCATCAGTGCCCCATCGCTTTTGTGTCACTCCTGGGAAAAAAAAATACAGAGAAAATAACATTATTTTCAGTGTTTTGTCCTAGAGACAAGAGTTAGAAAATGTGGTTTTAAATGGAGTGAAAGAAAGAGAGAAAGAGTTACTGTAAACGATCTGTTTGCCCTGGGATCTTATCAGAGGGATCCCATATCTCCCTCTTCCCAGGACAGGCACTTGAAACACCCCTGGGATCCTGTTGCAAAGATGTGTTTGTGGACAACCTCACAATGTGATCAGGGCTGATCCAAAGCTTGAATATCTCTGCTTTTGATTTCTGGGGCTTCAGGCATGAGTGTGGAGGAATCTGGAAAGATGGGAAATGCAGATTTCAGCAAATAAGACTTTTGTGCAGCGTGCAAAACCAGGAGCATAAATGAGCACATTAATGGGCTGGATGCTATGAGTTTGATTTTGTTTGAAATAAGTCACCTTCACATTTAAAGAACTACCATAGTTTTAAATCATATTCACAAATTCCATTACATCGTAACTTTTCTAGTTCAGTAATAACTATTACACCAGTACATCAGTCTCTGATTTTGTCATCTTTTGTTTTCTGTAGCACTAGCCTGTCTGCAGCTTTTTACAGAGTTTACAGAGGTAATTTCCGTGTAGCACGGAGCCTGGGCTATTGCAATGATGCATTACGTCTGCTGTCAACAGTTGTGCCAGAAATGACGTTACTTTCTATTTTGTAATAAGCATCCAAAATTCATTTTCAAAAATTCTTTATTTGGACTGAAATCTCTCGACATTACTGGCTGTTGCTTTATAGCAACAAGTCACACCACTGGTAAGACTTTTTTTTTTTTTCTTTTCACTTAGCCTGTCACAGACGTTGATTACTTTTTACTAAGCAGAATTTCAGTTTACATGTAATGTTATATTGACAAAGGAATATAAATCAGCTCCAACTTAAGAAGTGTTCATTAAAGCATACACACCATAGCAGGCTTCATGGCTTCATCTCCGTGGGTCCAGCTAAGGAGTAGGAGGGAAAGGGAGGGGAAGGTATCAGGTCTATCCTCTACCAAGAGATCCTGAGTCCCACCACGGAACAGCAATCACAAAACACTAACAGGATGTCTGACGAAGCTTCTGCTTTAAAAAAGTATACTAAGGTATACTTTAATACTTGCACAGCTCCAAGCTGCCAATGCCACTGTGTATATTCATAACTAGCACCAAAAAAAAGACGTTTGCTTTTGTCATAGAGCAAAAAAAGGTCCCGAGCAACAGAGAAAATCACAGAATCATACAATGGTTAGAGTTGGAAGGGACCTCAAAGATCATCTAGTTCCAACTCCCCTGCCATGGTCAGGGAAACCCTCCACTACACCAGGTTGCCCAAAGCCTCATCCAACCTGGCCTTGAACACTGCCAGGGATGGGGCACCTACGACTTCTCTGGGCAACCTGTTCCACTGCTTCACCACCCTCTGAGTGAAAAATTTCTTCCTATATCTGGAAGCTGGAAACAGCCGGACTCATTAGTCACAGTGTGGAGAAAAAAAAGAGAATCCAGAAAATAGCTGGAGCAGAGGGCCCACTGCACAGTTTTTGGCAAAGAAATAATGCATAGTTGCAATCAGTGAAAATGCAATGGACCTCATCTAGCACTGGATCATGGTAACTGCTGGCACAAAACACAGGAGATGCCCTCGGAGCCTGCTCCTCGCCCTGTTGTACCCAGTGAGAAGGAGGTGCTGTGCTTTCAGTGAAGGACAAAATCCACCTGCATCCACAAGCAGCAGGATAGGGGTAACCACTGAGTGAGCCTCATGGAAAGGTTATTTCGAGTGTATCGGTACTCTGGTGAGTTACATGTGAATACTTTCACGATGAAGAGCTGCTGCATAGGCTGTCTTATGGACTTTTTAAAACAACTAAGTAGGGAATAACTTGCAGAGAAGGATAAAAAGAAATTGTTGGATTGAATTAAGGCAAGACGTCAAAAAACCCAAAAGTTTGATAAACAAAACATATGTAATTAAAACAACAACTTCACCTAAGTTATGAATATTGTCCTTAAACACTTTCCAGTAAGAAAACCACAGTCGTCTCAGATCGAGCTGCAAAGCTACAACAGGAGAACATCAACTTGTGAACGTCAACCACTGCACAAGGAAATCCAGAAGGCTGGCTGGAGATAAATCAGATCCAGACAGGCATGTTTTGCCAGATGGCCTTTCATGAATTTCGTTCAAACGTATTTTCAGCACAAGAGAAAGACTCAGTACTACAGGGTCAAACAAGAAAAAGTTGTCAAAGTAGATTACACATAATATGTAAGTTGTTCTTATCAACGTAACCTCCTGTAATTAGCAATAACCTGCAGCTAGGACCTTCTAATTTCACACAGATCCCGCAGAATAGATCAATTAATTCTTGCTTGTTTAACTCTGAAAAGTAGCTGTTTCTGGAGCAGGAGAGATAGGAAGAAGCGTGGTGGGACGAAAAAGAAGAGGAAATTTTTATTTTCTTTGCTAAATCGTCCAAGCGGAGTTTTGCATTGCATTTTGTACCATATCCTGTGCAATGACATTCTCATATTACTATGGGAATCCTGTTGTTGGAAAACACTCAAACTCTTGGCAAATCATTTAAACGAGTTGCTGAGACAGATTAAATGGCATTGGTGGCAAAAGCGCTGGTATTTTTCATGATATTATTAAATCTATTCTTGGAAGCTTCACATTTGTTAATTCACGTCAACAGCACAAGCAAAAGAGAAACCTTTAAAAACCTTTGAAGAGAGCTTGAATCTGTGTTTGAAACGAAGACACTTCAGGGAGCACAAGGGTTTAGCTGAGGTGTGTCAAATACTGAGTTTTCACACAAATTCGCGCTGCTGACAAAACACATCGCACTGTAACTCTTGTTACACAACGAAACGCAAAGTTCAGTTTTTTCCCTGGTGCGAAAGCATGAAAGAAATGGCATTTCAAGTACTTTCCATCTCTGCGGGGAGTATGAGAAACTTATTTCTATCCAAGTTGAAATCCTGAGGATTTGTTTAACCTCCCCAGACCCTCCCTTCCCACCGTGACCCACCTCCCTGTCTTACAAACGGGAGATGGGATCAGGAGTAGAGAAGTGGTTGCCGGCGTATGAACTTTGTCCTATTACATCTTCACTCCTTTTTATTTTTTTTCCCCACAAATGCTGTTTGTTGAACCAAATGATACGCTCCTTGGCAAGGCATCTGGACATCCGGCTACAGACCAGGGTTTTCCTAATTACGGAGTGCAGCTGGAACCGATTCTCCCAGTCTCGAGTGCCTGGATGTCTGCCTCGGGCCAACTGGCAGGCAGCTCAGATAATGATTCAGAAAAGATGTACTTGTAAATCAGCTTGCTAAAACACAGATAGATTGCAAAGGTGAGGGTGCTGGTGAAAAATAGCGTACTGCAAATATTTGGCACGCACAGGACAGCCCAGTCTGTAGCCAGTTGAGGTTTTGTAGGAAACTTGAGACACACGTGAAAACAGCCCATGGATACTGCTGTTTTGCCAGTGTTTCAGGTCTTTGCTAGACAAGTGCAGACTGCCATGCTGGAGGAGAGCTCTTTGATGTCACTCAGAGTGATACTGGGCAGAGCTGGAATGACTTTAGATCACTGGCCCTGGCCTGATCTCCAGCTTTTGTCATGAAAGCAGTCTATTTTATTCATTTACTATTCATATGCTGACAAATTTCAAACGTGTGTCAGCACTTCTGATCTCTTCCGCTCTGCTCCAAGCCCTGCTTATTCCACGCTGGCCAGGTCTGCCATCCCCTCTGAGCCACCAGCATCACCTCAAAATGAACTCCTCTGGGAGGCTCCAGGGACCTCCAGTGCTTCCCTCAAAACGCCATAAAACAACATCGCAGAACACAACACACCAGTATGAAAGGAGGAAAACTTCTCCACTTCACCACGAAAATCCTTAGACCACCATCTAAAAGACCTGCAAGGGGAGTCAGGCTCCCTCCCAGGTGGCAGCCAGGTTCCCTGCAGCCCCCAGGTCAGCACTGTTGATTACCCAAAAATGCTCAATTTCCCCACTTGGGACCTGAGAGCTAAAGGATATCAACGGCTTGGCTGTAGGGTCAGGCGTTGCAGCAATCATCCAGCTAATATAATGGTTTTGGAATCACTTAAAACATTTTTTT